CTTATCCCCAATTGAGCACGTGTGGGATATGATGGGTAGGAGATTGCTCAATTTGCAACGTCCTCCTCAGACTCTAGAAGCACTTCGAGAGGAGTTGGTGGTTGCCTGGAATGAGATACCACAGGAGGACATTGACCACCTGATCAGAAGCATGCCTAGGCGCGTTGGAGAATGCGTAGCACATCAGGGTGCATCCACACATTATTAAAGGTCAAAGGGCTTTAAAGCAGTGCAATCATTTTGAAATTTTTATCATTTACTTATTATGCTTCATTAAGTACTTATACAAAATTTTATTAAAATAAAACCATTTAAACTGGGATTTATATGTCACTTAGTATATTTATATACAAGAAGTACATTCAAATGTGTCTTATTTCACTGCATATAATTTTATGATGACATATTGTGATACAAGTCAATTTATTTTTTGAAAAACGTATATAAAATGCGTGAAATTTTACAAATAGCGTTTTGGCTATTATATGAGACATTGCTAAAATGTCACAAAGGCGTTGACGTTCGTAGGGCAGCCTAGATTCATAGAACAAATGTTTAAAGCTAATGTGATTCTATTTTTTTGCGTTCTCCTCCACGTCTCTTTATTATAGGTGAATTGTGTTCCGTGTGATCATCGTCAAAATATGAAATAACACAAGCTGTGGCAAAATAGGTACAATTTTAAAAAATTATTAGTGGTAAAAGGTTAGTGTTGGGGGGTTATAGGGGATGAAGGAGGGTATATTTCAACTGTTTGAGGTTAGTGTATTTATACTGTTGAGTGCACCATATGCACATCATAGGTTTTCCCAGATATTTGTCTCTAATAGTAATAATCTTTATTGCCCAACAGGACAATAATACATAAGCATACTGGCAAAAAGTACGAAGATACAATAGATTAATATACGATTTTTGAAATTATGTTAAGCATCAATAAGTTTATGTACTTAACACCAAGTGTGACTATTTTAAAATTTCCAAATCGCCAGAATAAAAAAGTTTGTTACAATTGAGAGTATTGCACAAGTTATTTATAAATAATGCAATAATCAGTGGGCCAAGATATGATCCCTGCGGCACCCCCGATGTGATTTTTAACCACTGTATGGGACAAACTGCCTTGTAGATAGAAGTGACTTAAAAAATAGCAAAGCTGAACGACCTATAAGTCATACTTTTTGACTTTGATTATCAGAATTGCATGATCCAACTTTTACTATTATTGTTAAGCCCTTAATTGCCTAAGGGCCTTATCGCATCCGCTACAGATTAATCAAAATGCGTGCCCGTTTACGTAATATTAATCTCGCAACTGCCGCTTTTCATTAACGCGAAAGCCGTTTTTGCACTGACTGACACTGGACATGTTCTAGAGCGACTGCTACGGTTTTTCACCAGCAGAAGACGATAAATCAGTTGCGATAATTGCTATGAATTATCTTGAAACCGATAAATCAATTAACCTTAGCTGTCGGTTTGTCTCTCTGAGCATGCAAAGGGTGATATACTGTTTTGACGTGTACCGAGGCATACGACTGGTCAGCGACATCTTTTCAAATTTTTGAATAAGGTGCATAAAACCTGAGATAAGCGCCACTTCAGGCCATCACAAAAATCCAACCAATAACCCCAGAACAGCAGCATGCAAAAAAGTAACCAACAGGCTTAACATATTTCCTAGTACATTAGGTCCCAGAGACTATAAATATACTAAGTGACATATAAATCCGAACACCCAGTTTAAATGATTTTATTTTAATAAAAGTTGGTGAATGTATTTATCTGACTGTAAATAACAAGTGAAAAAATTTTCAGCCTTATCAGTTGGACATTCCGGTTTTTATACTGCTTTTTTTTAATTCACTAACGCTCTAAAAATGAATATTTCAGCCGCAGTAAAGAATCAACGTTGGCGGATTTTGGTTCTTGACATCCTTTACGATCGGTTACGATGCCTAGAGTACGGAGACCTGTACGATTTCGTCAACTTAGGGAGTTTAGTGGGACTTCGGGAAGCTGGACTTTCTTTTCGGGCAATTGCAGTTAGAGTGCAAAGAAGTGTAGACACTGTGGTTAGGTGTTGTCAGGCATGGCTTCGAGAAGGCCGTACGCAAAGAGCAAGGGGCACTGGACGCCGCCGTAGAACAACAGACCGTGAAGATCGCCGCCTAAGATTATTGGCCTTAAGGGACCGTTTCTCCACTACCAGGTCCATTGCAAATGAATGATTTGCAGAACACGGAAGACCTATTGGCATGCGAAGTGTTTACCGACGAATGAGAAGTTTTGGCTTGTTTTCATACCGGCCACACTGGGTCCTCCCTTTAACTCGAGAACACCGACGTAATCGCCTTGAGTGGTGCAGACAACGGTCACTCTGGGATCAGGAATGGAACAGTATTGTCTTTAGTGACGAGTCTCGATTTTGTTTAGGCATGCACGATGGTCGTGCCAGGGTTAGAAGGCGACGTGGTGAAAGGAGGAATCCACAGTTTTTTGTTGAAAGACATGTTCATCACACTGTTGGAGTTATGGTTTGCGGTGCTATAGCTTATGGTTCCAGGTCACCTTTAATCTTCATCAGAGGTAACATGAACGCGCAGCGTTATATCCACGAAGTTCTAGAACCCCATCTTTTACCTTATCTTGACACCCTGGCAGATCCAACTTTCCAACAAGATAATGCCCGACCACATGTTGCAAGAGTCACAATAGATTTCTTCCAACATAATGATGTCACATTGTTACCATGGCCACCAAGATCTCCCGACTTATCCCCAATTGAGCACGTGTGGGATATGATGGGTAGGAGATTGCTCAATTTGCAACGTCATCCTCAGACTCTAGAAGCACTTCGAGAGGAGTTGGTGGTTGCCTGGAATGAGATACCACAGCAGGACATTGACCACCTGATCAGAAGCAGGCGCGTTGGAGAATGCGTAGCACATCAGGGTGCATCCACACATTATTAAAGGTCAAAGGGCTTTAAAGCAGTGCAATCATTTTGAAATTTTTATCATTTACTTATTATGCTTCATTAAGTACTTATACAAAATTTTATTAAACTAAAACCATTTAAACTGGGTGTTCGGATTTATATGTCACTTAGTATATTTTCATTCAATACACGATAGTCATGTAAATACAATGCTCTAATAAAGCTTGCAAAATACTTGTAAGGCAAATATTAGGAGGCTAGTACATATTACAATATATTTCCAATTTCAGGTGTGCCTCAAGGCTCATGCCTAGGTCCTCTGCTTTTCATTATTTTTATTAATGGCATCGTTAACCATATATATGGTTACCATTTCATTTATGCAGATGAATAATTGCTGAGGCTCGAATTAATAAAGAATTAAGATCTAATCTTAGATTTAATCCAGAAGAATCAAAATTTCTTATTATCTTCTCTCCTAAAAAATTTAGAGGTAAAATCAAGAAACATTTGACTATATCGTTAAATGGTGAAATTATAAAAGTATGTGGAACTGTAAAAAATCTAGGCATATCTCTCGCTGTCTGAATTTTATTCCTCATGTGAGCAATGTTACAAAAAGTTGTTTTTTAGTGCTTCGGTAATTATACTTAAACAAACAAATTCTCGATTACAAAACTAAAAAAAATAAGTAAAGCAACAAACAGTGCAATCATAAAATTGTTTAAACAGGGAAAGAGTTTTCGCTAAACAAATAAATGTTGGAAAGTCTACGGTGGCAGATATTGTAAAAACGTATGGAGACACACGTTCAACTCAAGTTTCAAGACAAGATGTTGGTAAGCCACGTAAAAACAGTCCTAGAATGTAAAAATCTCTTGTACTTATTTGTATATGCATTTTTAGTGGTATGGCAGTTCAACTCCATAATCGCAAAATACATTGGGGAGTAAGCGAATAAATTATTGCAAGAAGAGGTCATACCATGGAAGATGTGCTGCAGCTGTCGTGAGCCACAATACCCAGCGGCCTGTCTATGTGGTCTAAATACATTTGCGTTCTAAGCTTAAGACTCAAACGCAAGAATCATGAAAAGAAATTCAGGCCAAAAAAAGCTGATATAAAAATAACTAACAATTCGGATAGCAACTCCAAAGAAAATGAATAGTTTTATGGCGAATTCTGTCAAAAACCTGACATGACCGACATTGATTTGGAGGTTGCTAAGCAAGAATTTTTCAATTGTTACGATGTACCACTTGACCCTTGTAAACATAATTGTGTTTATTGACATGAATAAACGAATTTGAATTTGAGTTCTTGAATTTACTTTACTAAAGATATCAAATTATTTGAATAAATTTTTTCTTAGTCGGAACGCTTGGACTGGCAGGACGAAACAGTAGACAAAATTCGTCCAAAATACGATTTGTAGAGGTTTGCGCGCTTCGAAATTGACGCTTTATTTTTTGATATTTTTGAATGAAATTTTCACAGTGTGCTGAAAACAAAACCCCACAGGATGCTATAGAGCCGCTTTTACTTTTTTTCACTAGATTCTTTTCAAAAAAATCGCGAAGTTGAACAGAAAAAGTGCGCACTTCAACCCATCATAAAACTTGTGCAAAAAGAAAATTTCAAAAAGTGCTCCTATAGCACCCTGGGCAATTATCTTCTGAACATACTGTACGAATTTTATACAAAAATATTGAAAGATGGAATGTCAGTTACGAAGCAGCTGAACCCTTGTAAATGGCTTGAAACTCACTGCGTCGGAGCCGCTTTAACACTTTGCGGAGAATGTGCGCGTTGCTAAGAAGGACTATTTTGTGGATTAATTTAATTGGTGGATTCCTTGGGATTGATTGTAGATTCTTGTCAAAACCTGGTTTGATTGTTCTCAGAGCGCCTGTTGTGTTCGTCTTAACGTTCCACATTCTGCTAGCTTCCCGTTCAAGATCTTTGTATTTGATAGTTTTTTCAGCTTATTATTATTAACGAAATCATTCAAAATAAATACTTGGCAAATATTAAGAGGCTAGTACAAATTGGAACTCACCAATTATTCTAATTATTCAAAGCACCAGTTATAATCCATTTACATTGCACGACAAAAAAGTATCACATTTTGAATCCTCGCACATGAGTAACATCACAGAAAAACAATGTTTCGGACTGAAAACCTCACTGTCACAAACGTTCGCGATCTCCGCCAAAAGTACCCGCAGTCACGAAACTAGAAAAAATGACAAGCGCATGACAAGCATCACTTAATCCTCACCGTCTGGCTACCTGAAAAGAGGCAAAGTCGCGCGCGGGGCTTATTACGAAAAATCACGCGACTATCAAGTCGGGAACGCAGACTCTCCTGCTCATATCACCGAGAGAAAACATGTGCTTCGCTGCAGAAGATTTAAAGGATCAAAACCGCGTGGTGCCACGCTATGCGCAGGCGTACTTCTCCGGTAAACCACGAGGATATCCCTTCAATGGTTGTACTGCTGATGGTACTGGACCATGCGACAGGTTGTCGCTTTTTGGGGGAAAATAACGGGGCAGAATTTTTGGCGACAGGCGAACGCTTAGCGGTCTTGTTTTTGTCCTGTTGCTGGAATTGCGAGCCAAATCGTTAACCTTATTAGCAGTGTTGTATTTTGTTTCCCTTCACTTTTGATTAGCACTTTTTCGGCTGCATTTAATTTTCAATCGAATGCCCTCATCTTTCACCCAATAAAACAGCATTGTACAAAATTGTATTTAGATAACGTTGTCATCAATTTGCGTTAACTTGTGTGTTTTTGCATGCTTTTTTCTTTAAAGCTCATTTTTACTTCCTTTCTGAAAACCAGCGCGCAAGTATTGTAATCGCGAAAATTTTCGAAAACGGGATATGTATGAAGGGTGTTCCTTAATGATATGCGAATATTTAAGAGTGTGAATCGACATGAAAAATTAATGTTAGTTTGCTTTATACGAGTAAACTACGATCGAAAAGTGTTTCCTTACAAAAATCATTCAAGAAGATTTCTTGTGTGGTCGCGTCGTAAAATTGCAGCTCATTTGTTCATAATGCTAATTTCAGCTTCCGGTTCAGGATGATAACTGTCGAAGAAGTGCACATCATTTTGCATAGCTTACGATCAGGTGATTTTGGTGCTGATGACATTAATGCAAAAATGCTCGCATTGTGCAGCCCTTTCATTGATAAATGTACGGGGTGTTTCAGGTTATTGTTGCATAACTTTAAGATTCGATAGAGCTTTTAAAATTAATGCATAAAGTCTATATAAACATGGGTCGAAAAATGCGTGGCTTCCGAAATACAGGGTGGTTAAATTTACTTTCTAAAATAGTTTTTTTTTTAATATTTCGAACAATATTTGATGTATAACAGTGAAAATTGGTATACAAGGGTTTTTTGGTACGACAAAACGAACCATGGGCATAGTTTTACTGTAGCCGCTAGAGGGCGCTCTCTACTGTACCTGTAGTGTATTAAAATGACCGAAAAATTTTTTTAGTGCAATTTTTTGCTTTTTGATTAAAAAAACTAATTCTTCGCACTTTTCAACATAAAAAAGCTCTCTTGTGAATTTCCGTTATAGTTAGCCGTTTTTGAGATATTTCGATGTTTAAGGTTCGATGAATTTTTAATTATTTATGATAAAATAACGTTAAAAAGTCAGTATCTCGATAATTTTTAGAAGTAGGCTGTGCCTGCAAATATTTTTGAAATTGAAAGCAGAATAAGGTTAAACGTCAATTAGTTGACAGTTAGTTTTGTTGTCTGTTGAAACCTGAAACGTTTTTTTGCAATTGTGAATGCACGAAATTTAGTTTCTTTTTAAGTTTTATAAAAATGCCATTTTTATTCTCCAATTAAGAGTTAGCGGATATTCATTTTGTGTATGGCTTTGTAAATGGAAACGCAGCAGAAGCAGCCACAGAATACGCACGAAGATTTCCAAACAGACGACATCTAACTCGCTCAGTATTTGTAAGAGTGCATCGCCAAATAATTGAAAATGGTTTTGGAAATCTCCAAAGGGATCAAAACATAAATGTTCGTCAGCGCAGATTTACGCGTATGATTCTGCGTGAGTTTGATAGAGATCCAACCACAAGTGTTAGGAGAGTTTCTGGTGCCTTGGGAATTTCAGCAAGCCATGTTCACCGTGTTCTTAGAAATGACCATAGTCGTCCTTACCATTTGCAACCTGTGCAAGGACTACAGCCAGGGGACGGAGAACGAAGAATCACATTTTGTCAGTGGATTCTTGATAGAACTGGTAATAATAGGGAGTTTTTAAGTAACGTTTTATGGACCGATGAGTCATGCTTCACTAGACGTGGAGTGGTAAATTTTCATAATCAACATATTTGGTCGCATGGAAATCCGCATGCAGTTCGGGAAAGAAATTTTCAGCATGAATTTAGTGTGAACGTGTGGATTGGTATCTACAGGGTAATCGACTATTTGGACCCTACCTTTTGCCTGGAAGGTTAAATGCTGCGACCTTCTTGGAAGTTTTAAAGGCTGAACATGCAAATATGTGGGATGATGTTATGTTAGATTTAAGAAGATTGGCCTGGTTCCAGCTTGATGGCTGGACGAAAATTATCCAGAAAGATGGATCGGTCGCCTGGCCTCCACGATCCCCTGACCTAAATCCATTAGATTTCTTTGTGTGGGGATTTCTAAAAGAAAAAGTGTACCAGACTCCCGTAACCACAAGAGATATGCTAATAGACAGAATCAGGAATGCATGTGATGAAATAAGGCCTTATTTGAATAATGCTATACCACGTTCGATCATTCGTAGATATGAATTGTGTATTGAACAATTATTGGGTTTACATTTCGAGCAACTACTTTAGATTTTGTATGTTTGTCCTAACTATCCAATAGCATTTTTTTTGTAAATAATTAATTTAATTTGTTAAAAATAATATTGGAAAATGAAACAAATTAATATTATGTTTTTTTGTGTTTATTTGGAGTTAGGAATTATTGCTGTGTTTAAAAACACAATCTAAACGATCATCTTAATTACTTGTAATGCCCAAATCGAAAATGTAAAAAAAAATATTATTTTCCCATAAATAATTAAAAAAGCATCGAACCTTAAAAATCGAAATATCTCAAAAACGGCTAACTATAACGAAAACTCACAAGAGAACTTTTTTATGCAGAAAAGTGCGAAGAATCAGTTTTTTTATTCAAAAGCAAAAAATTGGACTAAGAAAAAAATGTCGGTCATTTTAATACACTACAGGTACAGTAGAGAGCGCCCTCTAGCGGCTACAGTAAAACTATACATGGTTCGTTTTGTCGTACCAAAAAACCCTTGTATACCAATTTTCACTGTTATACATCAAATACTGTTCAAAATATTTAAAAAAAACTATTTTAGAAAGTAAATTCAAACACCCTGTATTTCGGAAGCCACGCATTTTTCGACCCATGTTTATATAGACTTTATGCATTAATTTTAAAAGTTCTATCAACAAAAGTTATGCAACAATGAACTGAAACACCCTGTATAGCGCATATTATCAACTGCTGCATACAGAGGTCTTATTTTCCAATTCTATGGAAATCTGCTATTGGTATCTCTATCCCTAAAATAAATAATCTTGCGAAATTCTCCGATCGTAGGCTTATATCACTTCTACCAGCTGTCCCAAAAACATCTACAGGGTGACTTTGAAGTTGAGTCATTAATTTTCAGATAATGATTGTATAAGGAAGATAAAACAAAATATGTGTGTAAAAATAAAAAAAAATAAAAAAAAAATTTTACCTTGTTTTATAAAGTATCCTCCCGACAAGTATTTCAGTGCGGACCTGTATTTGATCGTGAGGTCTTGGAGCACCGGCATGCCGTCCCCTGTGAGGTCTTAAGTCACCTGATTCACCAGCCCGTTGTACTACATTAACAAAGGCACGAGGGGTTGGTTGCACTCGATTGGGAAACCGATCCGCATAAACATGTGCCATTTTTTATTTCGTTTGAGCCACGCAACAGACACCACTATTCACTCACGCGTTACCGACTGACACTGACTATATACAACTGAATAAAATAATTGTAAAAACATCGTTCCAAATTCTTTCGCTTTTTTGTTTCCGATGCGATGAACCGATAAGGCGGATTATATCCGTTGTCGCCAAACACGAGCACATAATATTATTATTGAGACAGGGCGGTACTCAAACTTCCAAAGGGCTATAACTTTGTTACGTTAATTTTACTAGAAAAATGGTAAAGGAAAAAACATTTCTTTTGATCAGATCTACTCACTGTTAAAATACATGACTCAACTTCGAAGTCACCCTGTATATACAAATTCATGAATACCTTTCAGTCCATGCTCTACTTTCTGGCTTCCAGTCTGGGTTCAGACCTGGAAGAAGTACTGATATATCACCAGCTACGGTAACCACAGATATTTTAATGGCGTATGATCAAGGTTTGTCTAGCGCTCTTGTTCTTTTGGATCTTTCCAAGGCTTTTGAGACCATCAATCATGAATTGTTGTGCTCGAAGCTCAAATACTATGATTTTACTGACCCCTCGCTGTTTTTAATATGGAGCTACTTACTTAGACGCTCCCAGAAAATTCATATTGATGGTCATTATTATGCAAGCACAGATATCCTGGCAGGGGTGGTGCAAGGATCCATACTTGGGCCTTTGTTATACATAATATACATAGCAGAAATCCTAAGAAACATACAAAACGTCAAGGTACAGCAGTACGCTGACGATATTCAAGTTTACTTTAATGAAAGACAGAGCTGCAGCAGAACGAACTCTGAATGAAGAGCTTCATCGATAAACACATTATCAGAGCAGCACAACCTAAAGCTCAACTCGAAGAAGACAAAAGTAATACTTTTTGGCAATAAAAATAGTATAAATATTTTAAAGGACACTCTTTCGTTGAAAATTACAGGCGAAGTGCTTAGTTTCTGAATTTAGGCTTAACTGTTGATGCAAGCCTTCATTTCTCACTCCATATTCAAACGCTCGTATATAAAGCATTTAGTAAGTAAAAAACTGAAAAAAACTTTATGTGAGACCTTGGTGCTCAGTAATTTCAACTGTTGTAGCTTTATTTATGGGCCGTGCTTGACTAGTGCTGACATAACGAAAATACAACGGGATCAAAATAGCTGTTGTAGGTTGGAATACGGAATC